AATTGTGATTTTAATTGAATACAACTGAAATAAAATCTAAACTGTGTTGGAAAGAATATCGTTTATTATCATTGTAACGACTTGAAACTAGCAAATTAAAAAAATATATTTATTTCTTGTAGCAACACAATGAGCAAGTAAAATGAGGTTACTACCAGGTTACTTTTAGTTTTTTACCCTTGTGGATACACCAGCAATAGGCAAAAAGCGTCGAATTTGATTAATAAAGTCGACATGAAGAGTTTAAATCTAGTGAAAACTTAGATATTTTTGCAAACTGGTTAGGTCCATTGTGATCATTATTAAGAAAGTATTTTCTTCTGTCCTAAGAAGTTAAGTCGCCGTCCCCTATAAGTGACTTTTCTATGTAATATATACAGGGTGTTTGTTTTTGGATCTCAACCATGCGAATCTCGGTAACCGTGTAAGAGACGCGAATGTTTAAATTGCGGCAAAGTTGCGCAATCTCACTCCTTGTTGAAAATTTCGAAAATATCTGCTACTTCCGGAGATATCCGGATAGATCCGAAATTCGAAAGATGGCTTTTAATTTTTCCTTAGCTTATTTGGAACGAAAGTTTAAAATGAAGAATACTTCATCATTGCAACTTTTTCTCTTCTACAACGTGGCGATGTTGTAGTGAAAATCCGACTTATAGATTCTCTACGACTATCATCAAATTTGATTTTTTTATGGACGCTATCTTAAATTTTTACATGTTTGAATTTAGCTTTTTTCTCATTACTATGCTGCATCACATGTTACGGTTTAGTGTTGCTGTTTGGTGAAAATAATCCACACATTTGAGACAGTTTGACTCAATTTCGTTTAGCGTCACCAATATTATTGTAAAAATCTTGTCAAAATGCCTTTTTCAAACGAAGAAAAACACAACATCGCTACGTTGTACAAGAGAAAAAGATGTAATGATGAAGTATTATCCATTTATTATTAAATTTACAAGCCAATTAAGCAGAAGAAAAAATAAAAGCAAAGAAGAGCATTTCGGTAAAATCTAAATTGCGCAACTTTGCCCCAACTTAACCAATCTCGTATCTTATATGGTTACCGAGATCCCCATGGTTGCGCTTCAAAAACGATCCCCGGTATAGATATGCTCCTTAACTCAAACACCTTCACAGGGATCCGTTATGAATTCTGTTCAACATCTAGGAAGAAGAATGTTTTCATGTTCTTTCATTTAGTCCAATTAAACAATTTATGATATGCAAAACATGGCAAATGCTATGCGTTCATATTTGCACTGGATTATTTACTGACTAAACTTTCTTTTTCTTTTTTTTCCCTATCACTTAACTATTTCTCCTATCACTAAAGGAACCGCAAAAATCGATTGGACATTTTACTACGCAAAAATCGATTGGATACTTACTGTAAAAGAGAAGTAATGAACATATAACAATATCTTCTCTGCAAATGGCACATCCATCGGGATCATTAAAATTGTTTGACAGCCTCCACTAATTGTCGAGAAAACTGATATCATAATAACAATTCCGTAGTTCTTATTAAGGGCACCGACTACACTGCAAACATAACTGTGGTCACTTCTGATTTGTTTAAGTGAGGATAGTTCGCTGGCTCTCTGTAAATCCTTGTTTAATTGTCGAAGGCATAATCGTGTTTCCCATATAAGCATGAACAACCAAAACAACATTGCAAGAGACCTTATCCAGCAATAATATATAGTTCCTTCTATGAAGATATCTATTACACCTATAACTATTGTAGCACAAAGGAAACAAATCAGTATTAAGGCCTGTGATATAGGTAGGCACTTATTATTCCAAAGTACACCAATAAAATGAGTAATCAGTAATTTCGATGAAAGTGAATTGTCAAAAAGTTTAATGGTCACACATGCGTTTATAAGAATTATGCTTGAACTAGTAATCAGCGTTACTACAGTCAGAGCATCTGGATTAAAAATTGATGATGTCTCCATCGATATAAATCCAATAATTTTCTGGATTATGTAGTAGAGTGACGCAATTAGTATGCAAAATAGCCATATACATCTGTTCATTTTTCTTTTTTGCATCATGGGATGCCAGAGCATATATACGAACCCTTCGATGGTCAGCATTACTCGTATGATATATAACAAGCTATTCTGGCAATTTAACTGCATTTTTAAATGAATCTAAACCCGTCTATGTATGTACTGTACTACAAACTAGAAATATTTGATATGTTGCTTACTGTTCGCATAAACAATTATGTGAACCCCTATTGAATATTTCAATTTTTAATATTCGTAAATGGATATTTCAGGTATTTGCGTAATTATGTATCATATTAAAGTACTTTCAAATTAACAAATCAATAAATTGGTATTGAAAAGTAGTTAACTTTTGATAATGTTGTATTAAGGTCAACATTTTTACAAAATTTGGGGACACCTTGCTTTAGAGACTGTTTTTACGATAACAGATTAACAAGAAAATACTTTTTTATGGGAATTTGGGATGATATTGCTCAGAAAAGTAGCTGCTGTTGCTTTAGAGACTCCCTGAAAATGGGGGTTTTCTCGAATTCAAATCCCTGGCACCCTTCTTGTCATGCAACAGTTTGTGGGCGATTGGTTAAATCGAGCCCAACTACAATCAATGGGTGATTAATCGGGGCATTCTGCCGGCCAATAGGAAATATTGATTTTGCTTTTTGCTTTTCTAAGGTCATGGTCTTTTGTAAGGCGTTTTTTTAAGAGCACGGAAAGTTTTATGATTGGCGGAAAGCAGAGAGGTATTTGCAAATGCCATGTCAAAAACATACACTTAAAAAAACTGTTAGAATTTCTGGATTTGCAAAGAGTTTCGGTATCGAAAAGATTGAAGTGTTGTGATCGGCCAGCACATTCACGTCATAATCACCCCAGATTAAATTTTTGCTCCTGATTGTCTCGGTCGATGCTTGCTGGGAAAGTAAAAGGTATTTTTTCTATTTAAAAAATATTCGAATTTATTCACAAATTTTCCCTTATCACTTCCTAATTTCCAAATACTCCTATATTTAAGGTTTTATGATATGTGTGAAATACTCTGTGACCTGGTACATACTGTTCTAAAAATTGCTATGCGTAATTCCAAATTCAAACTGCATTACTAAAATAAAATAGTTTTTATTTTCTAAAGTATGTTGCTCAAACTTACAGTACAAATATTTTAGTAAAGCGGGTGTTGATTATGATTTTATTAGGTACAACACTTTCATCACAGTTATGACTTATACCTTACATTTCGTTTTCTACCTAAGAATATCGTTACAGGCTATTATGAAAATTAAACATTGTATTAGATTGGGTATTATTTAATGTAACATATCCGTTAAGCTACATGTATTTAGTGAAGCTCATGGTCAGTCGTTAATAATAAAATAACAGACAACATTAAATAAAAAATCCATTATATGCTTAATTGAATACTGAAGAATATGATTTACAGATCACTTAAGTTAAATAGAAATTTAAAAAAATATAAAAATAATCCATTAGTAAACTAAGTTAATTGGGATAATAGTTCGACCGGTAACCCTAACAAAAGTTAGACAGATAATCCGTCTTCTATCAATTTCGAATGAATAGTAGAATAGGTGCCAGACTTCAAAACCGTCTTTTATATTACACGTGCATGACAAATAAATATAAAAAAATCAGTTCATCCGATATTCATTTTCATATTTGCGATAAAACTGTTATGAACTTAGTAAAATACGCCATGATTTCATGCTTTCTCAGAGCGTTACAAAATTCCAGCTAGAGCTGCTGCCGAAGAACATGCTAATAATTCCCACACCAAATGCATATTTTTGAAACCGTATTTACCCCAGTTTTCAACAAAATGTGGAGATCGATAAGGTTTTCGGTGCCAACATAAAATCTGAACATCTACAACAAAAAAAGCTTGAAAAACGAGGAACATATTCTGGATCAAGTAGAAAAAGATCCAGAAGAACTAGCCCAGAAAGAATTACTCCTTCCGATCTATCAAAAATAGTAATTTGGTTTTTTTTTATAATTTGTGGATTGATGTAAAAATTATGTCTACAAGTAAAATTGAATTCTCAAAATGTACTTGAAATTTGTAAATTGTAAAAAAATGAAATCGACTACATAATAACAGATAAAAAACAACTTGTACAACATTACAACGCTCCAAAGATTTCATACTGGCAGCGATCACAGACTGGTCAGAGCCAAAATTAAATTCGGACTTGCCAAGAAAAGACATAAAATGATAACAAAGAAAAATTCTAAGAGATGGAACACATTTATTGGATAAAACCCTAATTGACGTAAATTATATGGAAACTGTAAACAACAGGATGCTAAATTCAGTCAAAAGTGCAGAGTATTATTGTAAGTATTGTAAGAAAATAGGCAGAAATGATAACAAGCTTCAACAAAGTACCAAGGACCTCATGAGATTAAGCCGAGAACTGCCGAAAAAAGATACCCGAGAGCAACTGAGAAGCTTGAATAAAGATGTATCCAAGGAAGTAAGAAAGGATTTAAAAGAATGCAAGTAGGATAGTAATAAATAAACTATAGAACAAAATATAAGCATGAAGATACTCATTAACAACATCTCCAATGGCGAAAAAGAAATATTTGCCTACGAAGATAAAACCGATACACAAACAAATAATAGGGAAAAGCTACTCAGCACAGATTACAGAGGAATTCTGAAATGAAGAATAATAAAGCGCGTGGAGAGCACCGACTGGTTATATAGTTCATTAAGCTTTTCCCAGAACAAAAAATAGGAAATCTAGTAGGATTTTCTTAAAAATTATAATTTTGAAACTGGTTAACGCGACCTGCGAAACGGTCCAAACCTTTGTGATACATAATGCGTTTTAACAATTTCGTCCAAAAAAATAATGATTTTATAAGAGTGTTCGGTTTTTAAATGAACCAAGCTGTAAATAGGTATTTATATTATCTGCAATAGAATTTCACTCAAATCAAAAAATTGTATCAATTATTTGACTATAGTGTTTAATTTTTCACATTTTGCAAAAGCCTGTTCCTTCATAACTCTATATACATATTAAATATATTAAGACGAATTATATCATTTTATTTACAGTAATACTCAGTTTCTTCTCGCTGGCATCCATCACATTTTAGTTGAAAACTAGATATGTTTTTCCACTCACAGTTGCATTTTTGGGACACCAATTTAGTGACTGTGATGTAGTCATTACTACAACACAACGTAGCACAATTGTCGATATCTCTACATCGTCTTCCTGTTGTCGAAAATGCACTGTTTCTATACGATTCGCAAAAATTCGGAGAAGAATCTAAAAATAATAGTTGCTTCTTCTTCTTGTGCCGACTAATATCGTGGATATTATTGTCAGGTTCTACTTGAATAGCTTTGTGATAAAGTGCTGTCAGATTTTTTGCAACTTCGTCAAACGGACGTAAGCTTTTATAACATATCCTTTGAGTACAAGAACCTAAAAAAATTCAGTGTTGAAACTTGTTTCAGTCGATTTTCGAAAATGGTTTTAAGGAGAATATGTTCTTAATTAACGTAAAATTTGAATTAAATAGAAAACACAGATTTTAGTCTTTAGTTGTCTGTTTTTTTTAATTAAACTACTCGGCACATGATGACATTAAGAAGAAGTCTATTATTTATGGAATAAATGCGCTCTTTTGTCAAAAATTTGCATGACCACTCTAGAAAAATGATTTTTGAAATTCTTGTCTACGAAGCCAAATTGGTGTTCGGGGAGTTTCACCAAAACTTTTGTTTGTTTTTGTTGGCTTTGTTACTACCTACTTGTTATTTAATGAAAACTAATAAACTTCGCTTCACCTTTTTGCGTCCCAATTGGAAAATTAAGTTGAAAGTAGTAGGTGTGGGACAATGATCACAATGTCACTATTTAATTTTAGATTTTAACTGTTAATATCTTCTCTAAATTTTGGGGAAAAAAATTCATTATTTACTCTCCAAGTAAACCCTATAACCCCTTAAAAGGAATGAATCAGTTTTGAGAATTACCCTGTATACTGGCCTAGTATTTACTTCAGTTGAATGACTTGTCCTTAGAATTATAAAAAATATGTATACAGGGTGAATCACGGTTGATGACACATTGGACGTATATGTATATCAAATGGGACCCTGTATATTGAATTAAAAATAAATACTTACCCGATAAACCATGACATTTACAAACTTTCTTCGTATTATGCCGAGTAATTCGCAATCCAACTTCACTATTATACTTCATAATATTGTTTGGGTTATCGCCTTTTCTCTTCAGTTGGAGAAATTTTTCGACGAAAGTTGAAGCATATTTGGTATTGACTGAACAACCTGAAGCAGAAAATTATTTAAGCGTTAACTTGAAAAGTGATGGTGAAAAACTAATACCTCCCCAATCCCACTTTAATGGATTGTCACTTTTTGGATGCCCAGCACATTGGCAATTTGATAGTTTTCCTTCCACACATGCTTGGGCTATCACATACATAAACGCCGATGTTGCTAGACTATACATAAAAGCAGTTTCTCTGTAAATCTTCTTAAAAAATTTCTTCATATGCATTGTGGAACAGTTCCACTGTTCATACCTAAAAGTGTTTTCTTTCACGTAAAGCTACTATTCAGTTCATTTTAGGATATCTCAAATAAATGAGTGCCGATATGACTCGATGATGATACACCGAGTTCCAAAATAAGTTGAAAACCGGACTTTTTGATAATGTTCCCTTAAACTTTATCTTTTTAACTTTTATTGAACCTATTAACCGATCATTTTTATGGTTTACCACTTAATTCTTTGTTTTTTATTCCAGCGAAATAAATGTTAAATTGTTATTTTTCATGACAAGTTATGGGGAAAATCCGGGCCATGTTTTTTATCAGTTTTTTGAAAATCTAAAAAATTAACAGAATGTCATTTATTACTGGAAAATGATTAGCTGCGAATTTCCGCTTTCTTTAACAAGGCGGTCGCAGGATTGAACTGTAGGCTTTGAAGCAAAACCGTTCAGTCAGAGTCGTTTTCAAGCAACTCAACTTCATAACATTTCAACATTTTATTGACTTTGTGCTTTTAGTTAATACTTAAATTTGAATTCTAAAAACCTCTTTTTGAGAGACCAGAATCCTAATTTCGAGTATACCACGCATATTAGAGGTTGTTAAAGCAAGATAACTTTTATAGTAATCACAACCCACACGCTTGTACAATTTAATTTGTTGTCCTTGTATTTGTTGCGTTGTAATTTAAATTTTTAGCTTAATAAAAAAATGTTAAACACGCAGGGCAATTACTAAACATGCTGCGGTTTTATAAATTTTGAAAATAAAAAGAATATTCAAAAACGAAAATGGGCACAAAATAACACCGTTTCAATCAGATCTATTTTGGTTTGAAGCAAAACGGTAGCTCATAACGTACTTGAAACAATGGAAAAGTGCGTTGCCCGACGTTTTTTAAATTATTTATCATCGGGAGTGAAGGTTCCACATTTTTTACACGTCATTGTAATGCCAAAGAATTAAGCTACAAATTACAACAGTAGATATTAAAATAGGTTATTTAGTATAAAAGAAGACTTTGAGGTTTAGCAAAAAATATGATGCTCCTTTTTTTGGAACTGAGTTTCTTTGTGATATTAATTGAGTACATACTGAAATTGCAGCTGACATGATTTTACTGTCAATGATCTAATTTGCTGGAGAAGCTGAGGTAATCCTTTCCTACGTTCACACATTTTCCTCTGATGCTTTAAGTCTTTTAGCCATCTGCACATTTCCTGTACTGTCACATTTCTTGCGCTTCCTACTTCTGGGTAGAAAAAGCTGGCATTTGTGGTGAAGAGTAGTGCTATTAGTGATTTTTTTCTTGAGGTCATTTTATTCTTATGCTGCATCGTGGTACTGAAATACAATTAATAATATTATGTTAGACGAAAAGATTAAAAAGCCATTATATATTAATATAATATAAAATATGAAATGCTATGGGATAGAATGAAGAATATGCGCAATATTCGTGGTATCAAAGCGCATATCAAAACTTCTTTATGTTATGAACTACGACCGACGCATTCTTTCTATTTTCACATATGTACTTACAAAAACAGTAGTGTCTCAAGATCAAACTTTAAGTTTGATCGTCTTAAAATTAAAATTTCTATTAGCCAGGCGTGTTTATGCAAACCTAACTTGATCAAATGTTGCATTTTCCTTATAAAAGATAATCAATAAGAGTCAACTTCCTATATTCAATTTAAATATTTTATGAAATAATTCATTCGGAATCTGGAACCTAATCCTGATTTTATAACATCGGTTAAACGGCGTAGGCTTCATTATGTTGCTGCGTCAGTTTTCACAAAACTTTTATAAAAAGCTGAGACAAGATTTAGAAAATCATGTTTGCTAAGTAGACTTATTATTCGCAGAAACTAAAACTTGGTCTTTTACTTCTTAATAATCCAAAACTTAAATAGATAATAAAAAGTAAAAATATAAACATCGGAAACATAAAAAAATATGTTTTCTCATTCAGTGTCAAATACTGTCGAAATTGTCATGAGAATTATATAACGTTTAACGTTTGTCTAAAAGTATGCTCTTTAATCGTTTCGTTGTCTTGATCGGTGTAAAATAACCTGACTTTAGGTGCTCCTACAAAGAAAAATCTCTGCTGTTTAAATCACGCGCTCTGGATGGTCAGAATTCAGGCGCTCCAAGCTTCGTCACATTCTGATTATGGCTAATACTTCACGAGGTGAAACTTTAAGGTGGCCTGGAGCACTATTTTAAATTAACAAATTTCGTTTCCTTAGCTGAACAAGAAAATCCAGATCAAGTTGAAGAGATTACTGTAAAATTATCGTAATGAGTAATACCATGCGAATTTGCACTGCACTTCTGGAAAATGAGTGCGCTCGTAAGCATCTCATCCAGGCAAAGCGAACAATTTCTGCGAATGTTTTAAGGACTGCACTCTACAAAATTCTAAAATTGAAAAACGTGGTACAGATACAACCTGAAACTTTATATAATTGTTTATACTATTTTATACTGTTACTATACTGATCGCGAACTGACGACGAATTGACGCTGGTCTTTTCGTCTGCATATAAGACAATCGCCCTCAATTGGGCTTTGAGTTAAGTTCAAACCGTACAATTTATGTTTATGAATAATTTTCTGTTTGAAAACACGCGATCACGGTACTTGGAGTGAAGAAGCTGCGGATCCTGTACCAATGGAACGACCATAAAAGATATTCGTTTGTGTTATTTTCTGAATTAAGTTATTTCTTTACCATTTTTTTATTAAACTTTCGTATCCTTTAACCACAAAAAGAAGAGCTGTAAATTGTCTCTAAAGGTGAGCTGTCTCTAAAAACGAAACAACAAAACACTACTTTTCAGCAGCGTAAAAGAAAAGTCAAGTTTGAATGTTAGTCGTTTTTTATATGCGAAAAGGGTTTTGAATTTCTTTGTTGGAAGCAAAGTAAGATAATAAAAAACTGAATGTAAAAACAAAGCCGAACAGCTTGTGTTGTTAGCTGTTTAACCCATAAAGAATTGAAAACTTATAAAATGTAGCGTGCGTAGGTAGAGCAGTGAAAATTACTTAATATACTTACCATCCCAGTGAATCATGATTAGATTTTATCGTAACGGTTTTTTGAATTGCAATAAATCAATTTTTTCAAGAAAATCGAAGAAAAGGTTGTATTTGCTTACTGAAAATACTAAACTTAAGGAAATGCTTATACAAGAAATCAACCTGTATTTTTTAAGTATTTAATGGATAGACCTAAGCATATGTGTTTACTACCAGTCAAATAAAAAGGTTTCAATGGCAGTTTTTGTTTAGCAAGTGCAAGTAGATTAGTAGTGAAGGTTAGATACTCTAGTTACAAGTTATTTCTTGCCTTTATGGTGACGAGGAAGCGGATGCGTTTTTTATGATTTCACTTTCTAGAAAGTATTTAGTAGATATATCAAAGAAAATGTATTACCTAACTATTTAAATAAATTAGTTTTAATATAATTTCAATAGCATTTTTTCAACTAGCAGTGGGCATGTAAATCTATGCATTCTGAACATCTAGACACTAGTAGCTTTGACTTTATGGCGATTGACAACAAATAAAAGGCCTGCACATGATGAACAAAATGGAAATATTTTGCTGGTCCCAAACTTTTTGCTTTGTACTGTTCTAAGTTCATTCACAATTTCATCTATGAAAATAACAAAGTAAGCTATTTATATACACAATATTCTAATTTTTTGCAATAAGTTTCAATAATATACTTGTGTGCAGATGACGGGAAGAGACTTTCACCAAAAATATACAATAAATGAGTAATATAAATTCCGCAAAGCAAGCAATGTGCAAAATAAATAAAGATTATTATACTGCGCTTATAATAATATATTAGCGCAGTAAGTTGACAAATGAGACTCATTCTTACCTAATTATTTGACCAATTATTTTTCGCGTCTCAAATTTGTGTAACAAAAGCAGATCATAGAAACGTCCTTTTGAATGTTGGGATCATACCGGTGGAAAAAATTTCACTTTTAATAAACTGGTACAAATCTAGTGGTGTTATCAAATTTGGAAATATGATAACGCAGGTATGATAGACTATAGTTTCTGAAATAAAACTCTTTTCGAATAATAAAACTAACTATATTAAATGTAGTAGAAGCCTAAGCGGCCCTATTGTCTGGCCACTCTAATATCTCGACTTCAACCCTTCAGATTTTTTTGGCTCACTTAGTGCTTTATCATTCGTTTGCCGTCTTGTTAATACCAAAGAAGARCTRTYAAATATGATTGTKACTTATCGAGACATAATTCTAAAATGGTAAAATTTACCTTTCTAGTYACAGTTAAAATGTTTYAATAATWTTGCAAGTGCAAAACAACTGGRACRAACSGTATGGTAAAGTTAYTCTGGTTAATGATAAAATGGTTTCATTATATTTTYTCTTACTGCTTAACTAATTATTATTAGTTTTATTATTGCAAAATTTCTATTATTTAGAACRTTCTRAGAKAATTTTTTTCCTGGAAAAAAGCAAGGGCTACCGTTTCTGTAGCAAAAAATTGGTTTATCTATAGAGAACTAGGGATGGTCGGTATTTAACGAAACCGCTAAAATAACAGTGTTCCAAACGTGGAACCTATAACCGTAGTTCAGCCGATTTAAGTTGGTTTTTTGGAACCGTCTCATAAAACTTAAACAGTGGTGCGCATTTAGCACCGGCTGAAGCCGTTTGCCGATTTAAAGGTTGTTTTTGGAACCGTCTCATCAACCTCAAAAAGTGGTTCGCGTCAGCACAGAACCGATGCGGCATCGTCGAGCGCTCCATCCAGTTGCAGCAGTTTCAGTAACCATTTATCRACGGAAAAGATGTTGTATGTAGTTGCACGTTGCCTTGATGATTGTATATTACTTTTCGTTTATAAGAATTACTGTTCAGWWGYCCAGGAACCATARTCGTTCAGATCAGYGMAAATTTGTTTAGTTGCTGCGATKATATAATTCAGCATTTTTRGTCTATARGTATTTARCTTTCTGACATTCTGTARTAAATCYTAAAAAAAGGATTTCTCTCAAGAAACTTTGSTCTGGAGTTATGCCCATAASCAGCAATCTAAGCAGAATGTACMCTTGCATATGAGCWATGAGCAAAGTAAAAGTCTAAGACATAAATTCCATCACAGTTGAAATGTAAAATAACAAACGTTTTAATCAGAATGTGCACCTGCATTTAAGCAAGCTGGCCATTTTTAAATATAAATTCTGTCAGAGATGAAATGAAAGTTATTTGAATAGTAATAAACGTTGTAAGGTCGACATAATTTTTCATTTTCAAACCTATTACTAGGGTGAAACTGGAGCGTTGTAACCTTAGTTAAACGTTGCGTTACAGAAAAATAACCGTTTATCACACCTCTATAGTGAACGCAAATTAAAAATTGTGTTCAACAAACGCCTGGACATGGAAGCTCTACAACAGGGCTGGACAAATTCCCACGTAATAATCATTCACAAAAATTACTACTTCGAAAACGCAGAAAATTACAGACGGATCAGCCTGCTGTCTCAAATATATAAATTATTTTAAAAACTAATAACCAAATGCCTCACACCTAAGCTGGACTATACTAGCTTTACTCGCGGTAACGATTCAGCACTGGTTCGGAACCAGGGTTGCCAGGTCCGAAAATCGAGTTTCGGTAGATAAGCTCGACATTTTTCGGTAGAAAATCGGTACTCATTTTTCTTTCATTATTAAGGGCTCCATCTGGTGAGGGTTTGGAAATGCTCTGTTAAGCACCACCGAGAGCTGGTTGGGTGGTCTAAAACCTCACCAAAAAAAAGGCTCCATAAAATCGCGCGTTTTTCAAAACTTAAATTTTTAAACTTACAGGAATACTAAAATAAACATGAGTCAGCAAAGAAGTAAAAAAGTAAGTAAGTAAAAACTCTTCAATATTTCCAGAAACAGACGACATTCTGTGTCCAGACCTTTTAATTCACTATCATTTATTAAATTTAGAAATATTATTGCAACATCAGAAATAGATTGTAGGGAACCTGATTTCACTATTGCAGGATCCATAAAACATAATTTTATCATATTATGATCTATATGGCGGGCTTGATTAATTTTACGTTTGAAAAAGAACTCTAAAATACGAGGTGTGCTATAATAAAATGTCTGCTATTACCAAAGTACTTTGATCATGAATATGTATGTATATATGTTATATTATTTTAAGAAATTCACAGATTTTTTTACTTTTATTTGTTACTTTTCGGTAGAAATCTGCATGGTATCGGTAGATCGTTGACGATTCATTGACAAATCGATAGATCTACCGAAAAATCGGTAGACCTGGCATCTCTGTTCGGAGCTGACCGTAAGCGCATAGAGGCATTCGAGAACAGATCGCATGCGCGTTGAGGCGATATGTCAAG